GTAAGAGGATTCACCAGAGACAGAGTGGGGAGCAGAACAGGCAGATAGATGAAGTACACTGCTGAGGGGAGCAGCGGGTGGATCAGGAGAGGTCTGCCACGCCATGTGGGTCACCTTCCAGGCAGGGAATCCAAATCGCACTGAAGTGGCTGCTAGCTTGCAGTGCTTCGCTTTAACCCACTGCACTACCAGGGAGGGCCACATCATTGTCTTTTTAAGTCTGCTTTACTGGAACTTTTCAAAAGTGACCTCAGGTAGACTCATAAAGGGTTCTTGAGGACTGATTTAGCCTCCAATACTGAAGATATGGGTTAATTCATCTTTCCTTGATGTTCCCCAAACATTAACAAGCCTGTCAGGAAGTGATGGAGAGATTACTGGGAACTCTGTAAGCAAGGTACCAGGCCCATTTTCTCAAGGTTTTATTGGCTCCATTAAGTCAATCTTGGTTTCTTAATGTTGTCAGGTCATGTAAGTTTATGCACATTACTGTCAAATATGACATTTAAGTAAAAGCCTTGACAATATCATTATATTTACAATTGTGTTTATTATAGGGGGAAAAACACCAGATTCTTATCTATCAAATGTATGTAAACAAATATACTGTCATGAAAATCAGAATATAAGAGTTTTTAAAGAGGGGTTCGATAGGGAGAAAAGGAACTTTTATTTTGATGATGTTCTTCATAAAGTTTTATTTTGTCAAACTGTAGATAGTTGAAGAAAAAGTTTCCCTTAAATCTGGGGGGTGGGGGGAGTTAACAAAGTCATTAAAAATTACCTTCAGATTATTTAGTTTCATATAATTCTTGTTCTGCTTGAATTCAGCTTCTTCCATTAGTTTTGGAACTTTTTATGCAGTTCAGCTTTATGATCTGAAAGTTATTAGAGGGGTGTCCTTTTCGTTAATCTCTTTGAGAATAAAAGATCTTTTCTAAAGAATTAAATATAAATGACAAAACTTCTGCAATGACAAAACACTTTAAAAATCAGGTTAAAGAGTTCATCAGTATTCATTAAATGCAATCAACAAGGAAATTTGGTTACAATATTGCAAGGTGATGATCAGTAGCATTATGACACCGATTTTTAGGATTTCATAACATTTTTGAACATTTATAATATATACCTAAGCAAATACTATCAAGAAGATTTAGCATCACTTTTTAATTTGACAATGTACAATATATTTAATATGTCAAATATTCCTAATTAGTTTAATATCTCTCTCTCCACAAGGAGAATATGTTTCAGAGATCTTTCCACAGGAGAGAGGACATTTCTGCAAAATGCCGTTCCAGGGGTCCTTCTGGGAAAATATTTGCATAGTAGTTAGTCAAAAAGAATTTTAGCTTTCAATTTGACAGTGTTTTGTCAAAAGTTAAAAGGTTTTAAAAGAGATTATAAAACAATACATAATCATCCATTTAACCAAGCAACAATTAAAGATTTCAAAGACATACATGGAAAATTTACATGGCTGCAAACAAAAATTAACTCTTAAAATCTAAAAGACTAGGTTTATTTAATTAATCAACAACTGATGATACACAATGTGGAACATAAAATTTTTGCTCTATAGGTAGATTACTTAAAAGAAAGGGGAAAAAACTGCTATAATAATATTAAGAGCAGACCACTAATCTACCAAAAAATTGCCCTTTTTGTTAAGGAAAGAAAATCAAGGTTTAGGCTTTACATAAATACAGAGTTGAAACTCTTTAACCCAATTTCTTATTCTATACCTTTTTTAAAATTGGTGAGCACGTACCATTCACAGTCACAGTGATTATTGATAAATGCTATTTGTTATCACTTCGTTTTTGTTTGTTCTTAAAGATTTATTTATTTATGCTTACAAAACTGGGGTAAAGGCCAGAGGTGTAGGGGCGGTGAGAGGATTCACCAGAGACAGCGTGGGGAGCAGAACAGGCAGATCGTCCAAGTACACTGCTGAGGGGAGTAGTGGGCAGGTCAGGAGAGGTCTGCCACCATGTGGATCACCCCCAGGGTGGGGATTGAACTCATGCTGAAGTGGCTTTAGCTTCTTAGTGCTGCACCACCGGGGCCCCACCCTATGTATTTCTTCATATGGCTGTTCATCTACATTGTTTATCATATTCTTTAAAAAATGGTAAACTAAATTACTGTTTTCCTGAAATCCATGAGCCACTGCAGCAAATTAATTCAACCTGAGGCGTCGTGTTGGAACTTCTGATTTATAGTCTATCAGTCAAAAGCACAGGTGATAACTGGGACACAGGACTGACTACACTGAGGCTAGGGAAATGAGCCTGTGGGATACAATATTATACTCAGGAAGGCAGAATTAAGTTAAAATGTAGGTCATCCAACTGGTGTCACAGAGTATTGCTTGTTACAGGAGAAAACACACATACACACACAGCAGCCAGAAGTGTCAGAAATGAAGTGTTTTATCTGAATGTAAAGAGACATAGAAGAGAGGGTAGGTTTTTCCAATATACAGGTTTTATACAATATACCACTGCTTCACACCCACTAGGGTAGCTATTATCCAAAAAGCACAGGAAATAAATGTTGGTGAGACTATGGAGAAATGGGGCCCCTTGTACATGAATGGTGGGAATGTAAAGTCCCTGTGGAAAATGGTAAGGTGGTATCTCAAAAATTAAACACAGAATTATCACATGATTCAGCAATTCCACATCTGGGTAATAAATGAAGCAGGGACTCAAATGACATTTGTACACCCATGTTCACTGCAGCATTATTCACAAAATGGAAGAGGTGAAAGCCATCCAAGAGTGCATTAATGCATGAATGAGTAAACACGTGTGTACACACGCACACACACACATATACGCATGACCAAGTACTGAGCCTCAAAAAGGAAGGAAATTTTTACACATGCCTATTCTATCAACCTTTAACAGGAAGTAAATTCTTACATGTGATACCTTGAAAGGACCTTGAAAGGAACAGATTTCTGGGAAAAGAATGAAGGAAATAAACTCATTCATTAAACATGCATTGAAATAAGAAGTAGTTAGGAAAAAAAACATAAAATCGCTAAACAAAAGATCAGAATAATCAGTTATGATGGCTTGGAAAAGTATTCGTAACATGACATCAGGGCTGAACCCTCAAATATTCCGAAAGTTATATACATTGCTGCAGAACCATTTTGGCATTTCAGCAGTACAAAATTTAGGAAGGATGCTTTCTTTCTGGAAAGCAAGTCAATTGGTACTCAGATCCAGATACTAACAAGGATCTCTGTGTGAGCACTGAGGTGCTCTGTGAGAGCCCCAAGATTCCTTGGCTTTTGCTAGTACTGGTTGTTAAGGATTTATCCTAACATGGTAATGCTATTTGGAATTTTAATCAAGCAATGATGTCTGTTCAGGAGTTACTGCCTTTGCAGATATTCCTTGCAAGACCACTGAGGGATTTCATTCCATGTCTCTTTGAGGAGCTTTAAATGCAGGTCACATATGATGTACTACTTACCCTGGCCTTGGAAGTTTTAACTTTTATGACTGGGAGAAAAACCTGAGTCTTTGTGTGCTCACAATCTTGAAGTCATTGCTGCTCATACCTTATTCAAGATTTTTACTGTCATAAGCCAGATTGGATAAGAACTCAGGACTTTCCCATAAAACTTTCTGCCAATGCCCCACAAATATTAATTGTGGCTTCCCAAGTTCTTTGATTCTCCACTATGTACCCTTTTTCTTATACTCAAAGTCTCCAAAACATTTATCCTGTATATTTAGTCCTATTTATGTAGAAATGCATTCTCCTTAGTTTCCCCCTACCTCTTTATGCTGCATATATCTAGTTGAGGTGCATTCAAAACACAACAGCATCAGAAGTCTCACCTTCTGTCTTCATTTTGCTATAACCTGAAGGCAAAAGAAATGCCGTCACTCCGGAGTGTCACAGTGACGGGAAAAGATTCCCATGGACAACAGGCACTGAGGCAGGGGTCACTAGCACATAAGTGAAATCACACTTTAAAAAAAAGCATAATAATCATCCCTTCTCTCACACCTCCCCTTTTATAACCAGTAGAGCAAAATTGGTGGAAGTGATAGAATGAACAGTTCATTCTCCACAGATGATTGATGGCAGCAAAATGAGCCCTACCTAGTCTATCAAAATATTCCTGTGTGGTTTGTTATTAAGAACCATTGACCCACCATCAGCTGGTCACATGGTCTAAGTTGTTTTACAAAAATTGATAATCAAATATATTCATCCATCCATATCCTCTCACTTATACTGGAAAGCATTAGACACAGCGGTTTGGCTTTCAGGCTCTGGAGTCGGAAAAACCAAAGTTCAAATTGTGCCTCAGCTGACTGTCGTGTACCACCGATCAATGATACTTTTTTTGACACCTTCCTTGCCAAAGTCCTCGGCTGGGCCACGCCCCCACCCCGCCCCATCACCACCTAGCACCTGGAACCGCGGGGAAATAGGGGAATTGACGGGGGCTGTTCTCCTTTTACCACCCCATCTCTCCTATGTTGGCACCTTGACATTGAGCAGCCCTCACTCTTACTCTACTCTTCCCTCACACTCGCAGCACACGCAAAATGGTAACGTGCACGCTGCTGAGGAGGAGCCAAGAAGGTCCCTCCCTTAACCGGGCGGAATTAAAAGGCTTGCGTTCCGGTGGTTTGCAAAGAACTTCCCTGTTACCACGGTAAAGCCGCTGCCGCCATCTTTATTGTGGTCGACCATTACATGCGTTAGCCGAAAAGCAAAGGCTTTGGAAAGAATTCTTCCAACTAAAAGCCTTCCGAGTAGGCCAGGACCTCCCGAATCTGGGTGGAAAATGAGCTATTCTTAGGCGGGAGCCCAGGTACCCCGGCACAGGACTGTCGGGAATCGAACGCGTGTCCCCGCTTACGGAAGGGCGTCGGGGGCGGGGCCGTGCGGCCGTGCGGCCCTGGCGCTTCCGGCTCACGCGCCGTCACGAAGCGTGTTGGCGCCGGGCTCACGCGCCACACGGAAGTGTACTGGGGCGCACCGGAAGCCGCCGGAAGAGAGCGATGGCGGGTTTGACTGTGAGAGATCCTGCGGTGGATCGGTCTCTGCGATCTGTATTCGGTGAGAAGACCGGTGGAGCCAAGCCTCGGGGAGGGACTGAAACAGGAGGGGAGCGGCGAGAAAGCCTTTTGTATTTCACGAGTAGCGTGGGAACCGGTGATGGATCGGGCGTTCAACTCTGCTTCCCTCTGCTGTGGGGCGGCCAACCTGGTGAACTTGGGGGCAAAGTGATGCCCCCCTCCCCCTTTCCTGAGGTCTCCCAGTCTTTCACGATGTGGACGAGGAAGTTAAGCTAGAGTTCAGCTTCCATGAGTTTCTCCTTTCGTGAGCTTCAGTTATTATGTAGAAGTGAGGACGTATGGTAACTCTCCGGTACTACTTCTTGCCCCCATCCCGGAATACAGATTGTGTGCTAAGGGTATAACCATCCCTGTCACCATTTCCAGCCCTCTCATAAGCACTTAAAATACTCTTTTGTTTGTTTGCTTGTTTTTAATCTGTAAAGTTTTAGTTCGACAGTCATGGTAGCGGTCACCTGGCATCTTAAGGTGGATTCTAAATAAAGACAAATGAATGAACGATTAAGACGTTGTCAGATATCTATATATTAAAGAAGCTCGCATCTATTCGGTGTCACTTTTTCAGCCGAAATAAGTTGTGTTTTTAAAGGCTGTGTGGTGTTTTAAAGCACCTTTTGAACGGTCTTCAAAAACATGACAAAACAGCTGGGAATAATTTGTAAACTTCGTCCACTACATTCATGGCCATTCTCCTTTGATTATGTGTATAGAAATACAGATGTGTGGCCTGGTTTTAGAAATTATGATGTTGAGTTGTCTGTGTGGGTCTGGGTGAGAGAGAGAGAGAGGCTTTGCAGACCTTGGGTAAATTCCACTGACAGAGTATTTATTTTCCCAGAGAGAGATTTTGCAGACCTTGGGTAAATTCCACTGTCAGAGTATTTATTTTCCCCAAAGTTAAGGGAAATCTAACACTCTTCAGATCAGCTAGCAGAGTAATATTTAGGGGTGCCTATATCATTTTTGTTTATGGTTTGTATGTGTTGAGTTCAGGTCTTCAGGAGACAAGATTCTTAATGGAGTATTATAGTACTGGGGTTGAAGAACACTTATTTTGAGCCAGTTGTTCCATCATTGTTGATATGAGTTAATAGAGTGAACTCTTACTTTCTCAGTAGAAAGATCTAGGTTGTGAACTCAGAATTTTAATGTTAATTATTTTCTTCCTTAGTGGGAAACATTCCTTATGAAGCTACTGAAGAGCAGTTAAAGGACATCTTTTCTGAGGTTGGACCTGTTGTTAGTTTCAGGTGAGAACCTCTTACATGCACTTCTTGATGGTAGTTTCTTAAAAGTCACCACAGATTTTGCCCAATTGTTAATGCAAGGTTTTTACTAGTGATTTTTTCACATGCATTCTTTTTTGTTTGTAATGTCTTTATTGAGATTTAATTCTCACATCAAGCAATATACATAAAGATGCCTTTTTTTTTAGTTAAGCCTATGTTAAAATTGAATTTCAGTGAGGTGATCAGAGTGATATGGTTATTTGTCTTACAGTAGACCAGTTTATGGCAATGTTTACAGAAAACTGTGTGTATATGACTTTGAGTTTGACACTCGGTTCTATTCTCCAGGTTGGTGTATGATAGGGAAACAGGAAAGCCAAAGGGTTATGGCTTCTGTGAATACCAAGACCAAGAGACTGCACTTAGTGCCATGCGAAACCTGAATGGACGTGAATTCAGTGGGAGAGCACTTCGAGTGGATAATGCTGCCAGTGAAAAGAATAAAGAAGAGCTGAAGAGTGAGTATAAACCCAAGGTGTATGCACCATGAGTTAATAAAGATGTAACATTGAAGATTTTCCACTTATGCTAAGTTTTAGCATCTGCTGAAATGGTTAGCCACATCACTTCTGTAATGAACGAACCCGAGAGACCTGTGGTAGCGAAGTATATCTTTGAGAAACGGTAAAGTTGACTTTAGAAGTCTTGTAGTTTGTAAGGAATTGATTTCCATTTGAAATGAGTCCAGGCTCAACAGGCCATTAGTGGTGTGTACTATGCCAGTTGTATTTGCCACTGTTTTTCCACTGTTGCCAGATCTGTAGCTGGTAGAGGAGCGTAGGTTACTAGGGCATTCTTAAGACTTTTTTCACGAGGCAAGAGATCCTGGAATTGTGTTTCAGAATTAGCATCTTCTTCTGTGCCTTTTGCTTCTGAAATGACTTGTCAAAGGAAATTGGTGTGCTTACTCCCTAACTAGGTTAACATTGTCCTCCTATGTGATTCTGTGCCTAGCTTTCCACTGGAATGGAAAATATACTTGGACTCTTTCCTCCACAAAATAAGGAACTTTCAAACTACTTATTTCTCAGATTCAGAGAATTTAAAGTTACCAACTGGTTCTTACAGCCCTGGAAAATGGATGTCATAAGTCCACATATAACATTCTTGGAAAGGTTCTTGGAAACTGCATCGTTGAACAAAATGACATTGTTCAAGGACCTGCTATACTTGAGATGGTTTAGCTCGTTATTTGCTTCCTTAACTTTTTTGTACTTTCTTCCCAATCAGGCCTTGGCACTGGTGCCCCTGTCATTGAGTCACCTTATGGAGAGACCATCAGTCCTGAGGATGCCCCTGAGTCCATTAGCAAAGCAGTTGCCAGTCTTCCACCAGAGCAGATGTTTGAACTGATGAAACAAATGAAGGTGGGAGGAGGCATTACGTTATGAATTTAGGGATGCATAAATCAAATCACATCAAATTTTCAAGAAGTTAATTGATCAAGTTAATGGAAATGATTCCCTGGGCTCAAATAGAAGGTGTGCCTATAGACCACCATTTCCGGTACCTTCAAAATTCCCTCTGTATACTGCATTTTACATTTCGTGCAAAGACCTTTCCATTTTTGTGCACAAACATACCTATGCAATCTCTCTGGGTTTTTGTGACCCACAGATACCTGATGTAGATATTAAAATGTGGCTTTCCCCCAAATGATGGTATTATGGTATTTGAAATGCCTCTTCCTTCTCTTGCCTACCATGACCGAGATGTTGTGTGCTATGCAAAAACCGATGATAGCTTTAAAAGCCTCTTGAATATCACATTTCTCAGATGAGACTGGCTCTAAATCACTATCATTTCCAGGTAATCAGCATTTAGCTTGATGATGAATCTGTTTATCTTCTCAGCTCTGTGTCCAGAATAGCCCCCAGGAAGCACGGAACATGTTGCTTCAGAACCCTCAACTGGCTTATGCTTTGCTACAAGCACAAGTAGTAATGAGAATTGTGGATCCAGAGATTGCCCTGGTGAGTGTTTCTGGTTCTTTTATAGATATGTTATGGTAAAGCTTGAGTGTGGTGGGAACTACCTGATCGTGTTGTTAAAACAGACAGCTCACAGATTTATTATTTTTATTTTTTTTTTTAGAAAATTCTCCATCGCCAGACAAATATCCCAACGCTGATTGCAGGCAACCCTCAACCAGTTCACAATGCTGGGCCTGGCCCAGGAGCCAATGTGTCAATGAACCAGCAGAATCCTCAGGCTGCTCAAGCCCAGTCTTTGGTAGGGCTTTATCTGTTAATGTTTTTTTTAATCTGTCTTAGAATGTCATTTTCATTTTGGGAGGATATGTCAAAAGAAGAATGGCCAGGAGCTGGAGATCATAATTGTGATTTCCCATTTATAGAGTATGTGACATTTGAATCAATACAGTTTTGGTTCCAAGTTCCAAAGAGATCCACTTTGTTATTCCATGTACATTATCGTTCAATACAGCAATTATGTGAGATTGCCACTCTTGTTATCTCCATGTTTATCAATGAAAAATTCTTTCCAAACATGACACAAAACCCTGAAGTAATAAACGATTGACTTGAAAACTGAAAATTTTCTATGTGGAGAAAAAGAAGGAAACATCAATGAAAAATTGGGGACAAAGTGTTTGTCACACTTGTGATGGGCAGCATCCTGGCTCCCTAATAAAGAGCCCTTAGTTCAGAAGTGTTTACTGCTGTATTACAGCAGTGAAAAATTGGATACACCCTGAAATGTTTATCAGTGGAAGAATGGAGAAAGTGTTGTATGTATATCCAGTTAAATACTCTACACCAGTTAAACAAACTACATGTGTCAACGTGAATGACTTTCAAAAACAATTCTGTTTTGTAGTAAAGAGGAATTAGGATATAAGATCTCAGTGCAGGTTAATATAATACCACACAGATGTGAACATGAATGCCCAAAATGTCAGGTATCTGCATGTATCCCAAAAATGTGTTGAGTGAATTGTAAAGATTTATGTAATATTTACATCAAATTTGAAAACATCTGTAAGAATTCTTATGTGGGTGTTACAGAATATGCACTGGGCAAACCATATGGGAAATTATAATCATAAATGTAATTGTACTTCCTACGTGTGCTTTTAATTCTCTATATAACTTATAAGTCTGGAATTTTTCATAATAAAAAAGACAAATTATTAGGAAAATTACAAGTCATCTAGTAAGAAATGTTCAGTGATCATAAATGGTTCACAGAGGTGGACATACAAATATGAAATTTTGAAAAAATGCTCAACCTCAAAATAAGATAAATTTAAACAGAAAGTACAATAAGCTGCCACCTTTTACCTATCAGATTAGCAGAGGTAAACAGTTTAGACAAACACATACAAAGGTATTATATAGGGGTTGGCAGACATTTTCTCAAAATGGCAAATAGTCATTATTTCTGGCTTTGCAGGCCACGAGGTCTATTACCTATGACAGATCAGTTTCATGTCTGCCGTTGCAGTGTGAAATCAACCATAGACAATACATGTAAATGCACGAGGTTGATTTCCAGTAAACCTTATTTATGAAATTGAGCAGTGATCCAAATTTGCTAACCCCTGCATTAATTCAATAAATACCATTTCAGAAATAGAAGGGAAGTAAATTAAAGCTCAACTGGGTAAACTGATTAAAAAAAATCAAAACAAAACAATTACAACTGGTAAGTCCAGGACCTAAACCTAGCCTCTTTTTCTCCATGAGTTCAAAGCACATTTTTAAAAACTCATTGCCAGGTCCCAGCCATGAAGTCAACAGTGAGTGCTACCTAAGGCCTTGCCACATAGTTAAGAGTTGTCAGTCTCTGCTGTTAGAATATCATCCACCTTAAACATGTTCTACATAACCAGGCTCGTTGTGTGCATTGCACCTTTTATTCAAAGTGCGTTAGAGAGCTAATGTGGATTAAAACATGCTATAAGAAAAGCGTATTTGGTAGACTATTTAGAGGTGTCAATTTAAAAATCCTTTAATGTCCCAGGCTTTGTGTAATGAGTCTCCACCGAGACATGATTATATTAAATATTCTGGTTTTCTCTTGGTCAGGGTGGATTGCATGTCAATGGTGCACCGCCTCTGATGCAAGCTTCTATGCAGCCTGGAGTTCCAGCACCAGGGCAGATACCAGCTGCTGTAACAGGGCCTGGGCCTGGTCCCTTAGCTCCTGGAGGTATGTGTCACTTAAGAGTCGTCACCATTTTGCTAAGTTTCATTATAGCAAATGACATGGTATAGCCAAATTACTATGTTGTAATGAGGTCTTGATATAGAATTAATACATAACTAGGAAGAGTGTACCTCAAGTGGAGGAAATAGTCAACTTCCTACATACAAATTCTGTGGTGATTAGAGCAAGGAAAAGGTGGGTGAAGTGGAAAAATACAATAAAATTTCCAAACTACTGAGGGGGTAAACAGAATGAATGTGAAGTAGACCAAGTCAACAAATGCAGAAAAAAAGGAAATGACTTTGTACTTAATAATAAAGGTAAAAGTAGATGGAATAAAGTGTAGTAGAGTTACTATTCCACGAAATGTGAATGGACTGAATTTTCCCATTTAAAGCTAGGAACTTTTAGTTTATGAATACATTTTTTTTTTAAAGATTTATTTATTTATTTGTACAGAACTGGGTTACAGGCCAGAGATGCGGAGGGTGAGAGAATTCACCAGAGACAGAGCGGGGAGCAGAACAGGCAGATAGAGGAAGTACACTGCTGAGGGGAGCAGTGGGCAGGTCAGGAGAGGTCTGCCACGCCATGTGGTCACCTCCGGGGCAGGCGGGAATCGAACTCATGCAGAAGTGGCTTTAGCTTCTTAGTGTTGTGCTTTAACCCGCTGTGCCACCAGGGAGGGCCTGAATACATTTTTTTAAAAAAGCACATACATAATCACATCTTATTTAATAGGCATAAAATTGCAGACCAAACAACAAAAGGAAAAGTTTTAACCACTGTATGTATGTTCATAACAAGTGTGAAGAAGAAAATTTAAAGAAATTTAAGCACACTAAATTTTGATTTATCCTTTAGAGTTAGTTATCTTTTGGTCTAATAAATAGAGATTGTATTTTGTACATTTTTGAGTTAGTGGTGTCTAACTTAGCTTAAACTATCACAAGGAGGGTGGTCCTGCCACCTGTGACCAGTGAGAGCACCTAACCTGCAGGTCATCACATGAATTGGGGAACACCCAGACTGTTCTGCACATCACTGTTCAGTGAGACAAGTGTGCTTGCATGTCGCAGCACTGCTAAATTGCTATGAGTTAAGAGTCTGCTCTCCATTTCTGTACTTACATTGTCATCCAGCGTGTGGATCAGTGTCACTTGTGGAACACATTATGAAAATTATTGTGCCAGTGGGCAAAATGCAAGTTAATGATATTGAGGAATGAAATAGTGGAATCAGTAAGCTTGACCTAACGTTTAGAGGGAACTTCATCTCTTTTAACTAGAGAATACATCCTCCCCACACCCCATGGCCATGAAACCTTTTAAAAAGTTGACCTGTACTTCTGAATCATACACAATGTTGTAAGCCAACATTGCTTCAAAAGAAAATAATACAATTAAAAAAAAACCATGAAGGGTGTAGGAGACGGGAGTTTTAGGAGAATTTTTTTTAATTGACTACCTAGCATAAAATTTAAAAAAATAGAATATAGAGATTTTACAGCTCACGTTTTTCAATTTTAAAGCAATAAACTAATATAAGGAGAACTTAAAAAAAAAAAAAAACTTGGAAAATTAAGGCCCAAACTCTAGCTAGTCTTTAAATTAAAAGAAAATAAAAATGGTTATAAAAGACAACAAAATGTATATTTTACCTAAAATATATACAGGAAATAGTGAAAGCAACATAGGGATTTAAATAGGTAAATTTTCAAGTGATTTTTTGTGTGTGTGTGTGAGAGCTTGTATTTATATTTGAGTTTTTAAAACTTAGAACTCCACTTAGGTTTTAGAGATACCCTGTACAAAATCTCTTTGACAGTTGATGAAAAGGGGGAACAATCAATCTAGTAGGAAAGAAGGCAAAGAAATGAAAAGGCACTTCACGGAAGAGCAAATCCAGATGCCCAGCGATAACGGGGAATTGCACATGAAATAACAGTGAGGTTTCACTTCCTTAAGCACATCACAAACAAAAGTTTCAAAAGGGATGACACAGTTTTGGCAGGGAAGGTGGAGCACATAGACTGCTGGTGGAAATGTGGAGTTCTTCAGCCTTTCAAGCAAGTAGTCCCACATTAAAGATTCATCTGTATTTTGATCCCCCAATTCTACATCTGGGAATCTAGCCTATGTACCATGTAGGGGAGTATATGAGAAATTTTGTGTATACTTCCTTCTGCCATGCCTTTCCTTAGCCCCTAAATCTTTGTATTGTTGGTGAGTGGAATGGATAAATCATAGGATGTTGCCATTGGAAGAGAGCCTTAAAATCATTTAGACCCATAGTTCTCAGATTGAGTGTGCTTACAGCAACCTAATTAGAATCACAAAGGGCTTATTAAAACAGTCTTCTCTGGTCTCCACCCCCAGACTTTCTAATTCATCAAGTCTGAGGTAGGGCCTGATAATTTGCATTCTAACAAGTGCCTGGTGATACTGATGCTGCTGCTGCTGCGTTTGGGGAACTATATTGTTAGAACCTTACTGGTTTAGATCAACTTCTTTACAAATTTAGATATATCTATACCCTGGTGATAATGTTTAGTTATCAAATTGCTTGTTTAAAATCACCATTACTTAGTGGCAGAGATAGGGCTAGCTCAAGTTCTGGTTCTTAATCCATGACTTTTTGGTGCTTGGCATGTTAAGTAGAATAAGAGAAATTGATGTGTACTTGATATTTTGGGTAAATATTAATGAACTGCAAGCAGTTCTGCTTGTCTTTTTTCCTCTCATTTAAGCATATGTTATTCCTTGGAGGGAAAGAGACTGATGGACTGCTCTGTTTAAAGTTCCAAATAAGGACTTGTGGTACATGACTGTTTGTGTAAGTCATTATACCCTGACCAGTTAGAGTAGAGCAGGGGTTCTCAACCCTGTTAGACCTGGTGGCCTCTTTTCATAACAAGATATTTTGCAATGGCTCTGTACTGTCCTGAAGTGAAATGCACAGGAGATTAGCATGATTTAAAAAACCTATGTATAGCACCCTAATTACAATATGGAGTAACAGATAAATAAAAAAATAATTTCTAATTAAAACCATTTTAGTATGCAGCTGTTCCTGGACAATTTAGTAGAAAAGAGAATCTAACAGTCAAATGCTTATACTTTTATCATGGCTCTATAAGCTACAGTTGTAGACAGGTAATGATTATGTTATTTTGGTTACTCAGATACCACGAGGACTGTTGACATTGGTGATATGATTTTCAAAGTGGTGAGAACTCTTGGCAAGGTTCTTAACAACATGCAATACCCATGATTTACTTAGTAATTACATTTCTGAAAAAATGTTCATATAAATAAAGGGGCAATTAACCTTGTTTACAAATAAAACAGACAGGTTCTAAATTCAGATGACTGTGGACAGGGTTTCATTTATATGAATGTTCAGTGAGACATTCAAAATTTGGCAAGACAGGATAACTTTTTATTTTGTGGGACTATCTCCTACATTGTAGGCCATCTAGTATCTCTGTCAGCTTCTCATTAAATGCCAGCCATGCCCCTGCAAATCTTTGTCACAACCAAAACAGTATACCCATGCATTTACAAAATTCCTCAGGAACAATGCTGTCTCCTGTGTGGAGACTTAATGTGGGTTAGTGCATCAACTTCTTTCCAAGATTTTAGTAGCAAATGAGATGAAGTATTCTCCTTTAATTCACTTCTCTGTCACAAAGCCTTAAATAGCCTAAGAAACTCCATCTTTAGTCTCGTATTATTTAGTGGTTCCTTTGTAGGTTTCTGCTTAGAGGGCAGAGCAAAGAAACTGTCAACTCAGCCACTTTGATAGATTTTCCCCACTGCCTTAATTTGCTTTTCTTTCCTGCCCTTCATCCTCTAGGAGGAATGCAGGCCCAGGTTGGAATGCCAGGAGGTGGACCAGTGCCCATGGAGAGGGGACAAGGTAAATGAATCCTAACATCTGATTGATGTGCACTGGACTTGGAGACGTTCTCTTCCTGCGCTCTAACATGGCAGCCACTAGCCACATGTGCTTATTGGAATATTAAATACATTAAAAGTAGGTAGAATCTATAAAGTTTCTCATTCACACTAAGCACATTCCAAGTGCTCAGTAGCCACATGTGGTTAGTGGATACCACACTAGCCACATGTGGATACACCACACTAGTGGATGTTGCAGATATATAAAGAAAATCCCATCATTGCAGAAAACTCTTTCAGACAATACTGATAGATTTCCATCTAGTGATTCAGAGCCCAGCTCTACAAGAATTGATGATGAAGCAGATGGACCCTTCATGTCTGTTGAATTTGTATTGTCTTTTCCTGATAGTCTAGTGATTCTGTTGACATACTCTCTCCCTCTATGGACATCCGTTGACAGAGTACAGAATTTGAATAATGAGCAAGTACTATGGGCCCAGAGGGGCTGCAAGGTCTGTGAACCATACCTGATCAGTGTGTGTTGCGCTGTGGCAGTAACTAGATACCACAGCAGCAGCCACTCCAAAATCTCCACATTATTTCTCATGTTATTGGCATCTAAAGAAAAAGAAAGTTCAGTGTTTTTAGTTGAAAACAATGTTAGGAGCAGAGTTAGAAAATAGACTAACTGACAATAAAACTGTGCATCCTATGGCCAGGCACACTAACATTTATAGACAGCCTAGTGAGTTGGGTGGCAGCACCCCAGTTTTACAGTAAAAGATGGAAGCTCTGAGTTTTAACTTACGCAAAGGGACATGGTAAGTAAATAACTGATATCTGAGTAATGCGCACTGGACTTGATTCATGTATTTCTCTTCTAACTAGTAAATAGTAGGGCTAAGACCAGAAGTCTTGGTCTCCAAAATCCATCAATCCATACTGCTTCTGTCAACTTCAGAGGTATTCCTTAGTGTATTCTATTCTTTTCCATTGGCTCCTTGTGGCGAGAGAAGACTGCTTTGGACATAGAGAAACTTAAGTTATTTCTTAGCATATGGCCTATAAGTAAAATCTAGTGTTTTAAAAAGCAGGATATTTAAGCAATAGACCTGTGTACTAAAGAGCACATCCTCGCTTGATGTCCTCAGTGGATTCTGGGAAACTGACTTTATGTGATGAAACCAGGTCCACAAATAACATCGCTTCATTCAGTATTGACTGGGATTTTTTTTTTTTTTTTTTGTCATCAGTGTTACAAGGAAACAACATTTTCAAGGACCCTCTATGTTTTTTTCTATGGTTTGTACACTGGGCTTGATTGCTAAAGCGACAACTAATACTCTTGTCAGATGGTTGACAGTAGGCCAAGCGCCTGTCCACATACCTCATCTGAACAGCTGTACTGTTGTGCTGCTGTGCCCATCCCCTTGGCTGCTGTCAGTACGTTGTGTCCCACAGTGTAGTTTTGCAGTTGGGAAAAAGGATTCAGATTTCAGTTGTGTTTGTACCTCTCCCCGGGCCCCCAGTCAGTCACCAGATGTCTGATACATACTTCCGCAAGACACCTTCTGTCCTTCGATAGTTAGCTTTACCTTTCTGGGAAAAAAGTTAATGAGGGAAATAATTTATGTTTTGAAGGTATATCAAGCATGTCTTCCTGAAGAAACAGAAAAAAATGAGTTTTATAGTTTTTCTTCAGGAGCTAGCAGAAGAAACAAGAATCTTTTCATTTGCATCCAATTTGTCTGTCTTTTTCTGGAATTCATGCTGCTTCTACACATTTTAATTGGTAAAAATAGAATATAATGTGTTTAAGAAGATACTTCTTTCTTTCTGCCACGTTTGTTTAGTATCAATGTACTGGCATCTCTTTAGTCTTTATTGGCTATTGTTTTGATACTTGTTTCTTATCAAAGAGTTGCAGTGACTGAGTGTTTCTCTTGTTTTTTTATCAGTTGTTTCCCTTACATTCTTGTAGTCCCCATAGATTTCCCACCAACTTACCACCCTTAAACCATCATCATATTCCCTCGTGTTCATCCCTCCCCTGTTTTGTGCTCCCTCCAGCCCCCTCCTTTGCTATATGACTTAGTTCTACAGTCAGTTTGCTACTTTTGACTTTTCCTTGACTTTTTGTTTAGTTTCTGTATATTCCACATATAAGTGAGACAATCCGGTATTTATCTTCTTCCGTCTTATTTCAGCTAGCATAATCCCCTCCAGCTCCATCCCTGTTGCTGCAAATGGCATGAGTCTGTCTTTTTGATTGCTGTGTAATATTCCGTTATATAGCTATACCACAACTTTTTGATACATTTGTCTGTTTGGGGGCATTTGGGTTGTTTCCGTATATTGACTATTGCAAATAATGCTGCAGTTAACATAGGAGTACAGGTTTCCTTTCAAATTAGTGTTTTTGTATTCTTTGGGATGATTCCTAGGAGTAGAATTACTGGATCATATGATAGAGCCATTTTGGGTGTCCTGAAGAACTTCCACTGAGCTTTCCATAGTGGCTGGACCAGTTTGCATTCCCACCAGCAGTGTAAGAGGGTTCCTTAATTTCCACTTTCCACATCCTCTCCAACATTTGTTGTTTTCAGTTTTTTTAATGTGGGACATTCTTACTAAAGAAAGGTTTTGATTTGCATTTCCCTGATAACTAGAGATAACTGAACTTTTTTCCATATGCCCATTGGCCACTTACATTACTTCTGAGGAGATGGCAGAGTATTTCTTGAGGGATAGTGTATTCTCTCCTTGGCTAAAATCAATTCAGTGTTATTTCCCCCATTTGATACTTTTTGATAGCAGAAATTTTTGTGCCTTAAAACATGGAGAAAACAGTCCTACCTCAGTTGTTATGGGTCTCTACAAAATAAACCTTGTCTTCCAGATTCTGTGCTTCTCTTTCTTTCATTTTTTGCTTAGAAAAATGTATTTATGTTCTTGGCCTAACTAGAAATTTAAAACATTCTTTTTATAATTTTTCTTTTTATTTAATGGTATTATAAGGCGGCTTAGGGGGAATTACAGTAGCAGAGGTGAAAACTGAAAATGGCTACTTATTCCTACCAAGTAAAATCAGTGGTCCACACGTTTCACCCAAGGAAACTATCACATCAAAATGGAGCAGTTTCAGATTTCCAAGAAGTAAATAATAATTTTGGAAGATTTTGTATCCTGGCTCAAACTCTTAAATCCTTGGCTAACGTCTGTGTGTAAATCTCCAATATATATATGTTTCTGCTTGTGTGTGCAAGCTCTTTTAAGTGTCTGCTCTTTCTCCCTTTGAAATTACTGCTTACCTAGGAACCCTACAGCACTCGCCCGTGGGACCCACCGGGCCTGCATCAATTGAGCGAGTTCAAGGTACTATTGTATCTGCCAGTTTCCATTTGTTTTTGGTGAACAGGGTGGGACGTTGAGAGCACAAGGGCTGCTTGGCAGTCACCCTCACGTTCAGAACCCAGGAGGGTCGTGTCTTTGGTTTTTGTCTCAGTTTTTTCCTGTTAAGGCCACGAGATTGACCTCTTCACACAGGTCACAGAACATGGATGATGTGGGCGTCTGTCCGAGGCTGTACTCCCTCCCTACTGGTGTCAGGAGGCTTGGATGGAATAACAGTCTGAGGAGACGGCGGGTTCTTGCAGAGACATGGCAGGGTCCACCACCCTGCCTCCCTTTTGTGACTGCTCTTTGAACTGGTTGATTGATTATAAGGACAGCCAGAGCCTGCATTTCTTCTGGTTGCATTGCTAGTCTTTGGCAGGTTGCCCTCTGTTTGCTCTCTGTGTAATTCCATCCACACCTCTGACATGGCACAGATTCTGTCTACACCCTGCTTCTGTTCTTGAGCTGCAAGAGGAGTCTGCTATGGTGACATTTCACCCACTCCCAGGTGTCTGAACTATGTTGTCAGTGGTCCATAAGCGTCATTTCTAGTTTCCTCGTGTGTCCTTCACAGCAGTAACTCCCTGTTTGTTTCCCTGTCAGTGCCGATGCAAGACCCCAGAGCCGCTATGCAGCGTGGGGCCATGCCTGCCAACGTCCCCACTCCTCGCGGTCTCTTAGGAGATGCTCCGAATGACCCACGTGGAGGCACTTTACTTTCTGTAACTGGAGAGGTAGAGCCAAGGTAATCATTCACATTGAAGGAACAGATGGGGTGAATCAGAATTTTTCCTTGCTTTGACAATAAAATCTGTGTACTTGTTTGCCTACCTCAGAAGTTCAGGGCTGTGGTCCAAGACTAAGCACTTCTAGGGCAGAACTAGCTACTTGAGTATGTAATTTTGAGGTAACCATGACTACTGCATCTTCAGAAATTAAAAATTATAGCACAAGGAAAATTTATGTCATTGGAGGTAGTAGTAGTTATACTACTAGTAATAATTGACATTCATTAATGGGGATTATGCCTGAGAATTTAGAGCATTTCCTTTCCTCCACTATTTCATTCGTTCATTATTTCATTTTGTTAATATAATTTTATTAAATCCACACACCCCTGTGAAATAGATACTAATATTAGTCCCATTTTCCAGATGAAGAAACGGAGGCTCAGCTAAGTAATGGTCCAAGATTGCACTGCTCGTCAGTGATAGAGCCTAGCTTTGAACCCATGTTCTTAAGCACGATGCTGTGTGATCATTGTACTTAATGGATAGCCATTAATCCCTCCTAAATTATGAGTGCCCCAACCAAATAGGAAATTCTGGAGTACATGGATATACACCCAATAGCTTTTGTTTGATATTCTCTTGTTAGCATTTGTAGGGTTAGCATTGTAGAATTTGATATAAGTTCTTTGATTTTTGCTTACTGATCTTCTGGTTGATACTTTGTTGTTTTGTTCTATTTGAAAATATAAATAGGATGTTTTTCTCTACCTCTAGAGGTTATCTGGGACCACCTCATCAGGGTCCACCCATGCACCATGTCCCTGGCCATGACACCCGTGGCCCGCCCCCACATGAGATGAGGGGAGGGCCGTTAGCTGAGCCCAGGCCTCTAATGGCAGAGCCAAGAGGACCCATGCTAGATCAGCGGGGTCCACCTTTGGATGGCAGAGGTAAGGGGAGATCACAGCATCCCGAGTCTGACTGGTACTTGTGGGCTGATAATGAACCAGCTGCCTTCAGCTCTAATCTGGACTAAAGAATGCTGGGGCAGTAGGGCCGGCAAGCATTGTTAAAGTATATCTGCAAATCTGAGAAAGTGGGGAGGAGAAAGCAGCCTCAGGTGGGGGTTTTGAGAGTGGTGATTGGAGGAATAGATTCCTATCTTTGACAGTAAAGGTGAGTAGCTATACAATACACAACTTATTTTAAAGGTGGAAGAGATCCCCGAGGCATGGATGCACGAGGGATGGAGGCACGAGCCATGGAAGCCAGAGGACTAGATGCCAGAGGGTTGGAGGCCCGAGCAATGGAGGCCCGAGCAATGGAGGCCCGTGCAATGGAGGCTCGAGCCATGGAGGCCCGAGCCATGGAAGTGAGAGGAATGGAAGCCAGAAGCATGGATCCTAGGGGCCCAGTCCCCGGCCCCAGAGGACCTATACCTGGTGGAATCCAGGGTCCCAATCCAATTAGCATGGGGGCAGTTGGCCCTCAGGGATCCAGACAGGTATGTGTAACACACTAACAGTGTCTGTGTGAAATCCTCATCTATTCAAGAGTTGATTACTGAACCTGATTATTACTGCTTTTTGATTTGGGCTATTTCTCAGTTTATTAGAGAGGAAAGATTAGTATCTCCCTTCCTTTAGCTTTTCAGTCCCTTAGGGTATTGATTTCTTTGGTCAGCAGTAATATAGTCCAAAAGAGCAACCTTGTCCCCTAATTTTAGGAACTCTTTCACTCAGAGCACAACCTCTGAATGTTTAGGGGATAGAGAGCATTTCAGTGGAATCAAGGCATGGATAATTTGAAAAGATTCCCTCAGGTGACTCTAATGCACAACCCTAAGAACCATTGCATTAGAGCTTATGAAGAGTTATTAATAGTCATTCAGATAACATTAGGTTTGCAGAAACCTATTTTACTTTGCTTTCATCATGTAGCCAGAAGGCAAATCATGGCATATAAAAGGCAATTTACTAATGCTTCACCTTAAGACCTATGCAACTGAATTCTTGTCTCTCCTTTGTCTCTCTTGGGTTCCCTCCAGCTGTGTGTATGTGGTGTCTATGATTGCCTGTGTGTTTTCAACTCTTTCCTTTTTTTGTGGTATGTATGTAACCCTCCTGAGCCCTTCCACCTTCATCTTCCTACATGTGTCTTTTTCCTTTGTAATTCTGTTTTCCTTCTCCCAAATTCTTGTGTGCCTTACTTTCTTCGTATGGGAGTCTGTGTGTGTGGTGAATGTGTATGCAAGAGAGAATGTGAACACTCACATGAGCTGGAATGGAGTATGTCAGTCATCTTCTCTCATTTTATAGGTATGGAAACTGAGGCCAAGAATTCAGGTGACTTGTCCAAATTCATACAATTAAAAAGTGGCAGAGCAAGGACTAGAACCCACTATTTTCTCTACTCTGTTTCTCTGTCCCATTTTCTGCATGTTTTGTTTGTCTCTGTATCTCCCCCCTCCCTTTTTAATACAAAATTTAAATGTGCTTTTTTCTAGTATGTGCAGAATACAATCTTCTATATTGTTAAGTTTTACTTTTTTAAAAGTGTGTTTCACGGGCCTTGATTTTTATTGTGCCTTGTCTGGTTGGTAGCCATATAATAAAAATTGTTTTTATGCATTCAGTCAGACTGTCAGCAAATATTTATTGAGCACCTACTAGGTACCTACCAGAGTTACAGATAATGGGGATATAGCAGTGTGAACAAAGTCGCTGCTTACATTCTATTACAATTGGAGAAACAGACAACATATAACTACCTGATGTGTTTATGTAATAGCTCTGGATAATTCTGTGGAGGAAGACATTGACAACAACAGTTGGAAGACCATTTCCGGAAAATGTCTTATTCCTTTATAAAGTTGTGTAAATTAATATTTCAATATTATATAAATTATATAAGTTATAAAAATTTTACAAATATATGAAGTACCTTCACTGTTGTATAAAAGAGGCGCAGTAAGCTTCACTTCCTCTTCTGTGCCCATCTCCCCTGTGACCCTCATTTCCTATAGGTAATCAATTTTATTAGATTTTTAATGATTTTTCTAACAAGTAATACATAATCTTACTTTTTCAAATATTAATGTATGTCCTTATTCCTCCCCTCTTCACTGTTCTGTGCCTTGTTTTTTTTATTTTACAGTCTGGCCTTGATTTGTAATTTTAAATTAGATTTTAATATTAGCTCCAGTCCACCCAGTTAGAAACTTGTTAGTACAAGATTTATTGTTCCTAGTGTGATTATACAATTTATCATCCAGACAGAGATACATTTGAGAATGAAGATGAATTTTGTTAGTAAATACTTCTGCTAACAGAAGTATAAACCGAGATTGTCTTGGCAAATCTGGGTGTAGGGTCACTCATTCCTTGTCTGCTAGAATGGCACGCTCAGGAACTTACCATGGCCTCTGAGTTATTCGGTCACATTACAGTACCTCAAATTAGTACTGACTGAAGCTTCAAAAGGTTATTCTCATAGATGTTTCAGATCTGTCACAGAGCATCAAGTTGGCTATTAGTGTGTAGGTGCAGTACTGATAAAAACAGGAATTGATAATATTCTGACAATCTCTACAGAGCTGTACAGTGCTTTATGTAGTATCTTTGAGAAATGAGTTATTGCAGGTAAGTCAGTGTCCCAGGTAATGGAACCATCCTATCAAGGTTTTACACTATTTCGATGAAAAATAATTTATAGTTTATTATACTTCCTCCCCTTCTTAAACAGGATGAGAAAATAATTGTAATTGTTTTTGATTATTCAAGATCATCATTAAATGCACCCATTATTGTATATGCTATAATTGAAAGTATAGTTACCTCCTGTCTTGGTTTCTGGTCTCCTTCACCATCAGACTGTCACCTGACTCTTCACATTGCTGTCATGGTATCTGCTCCTAACGTTTTATCCACACTTTTGCGCTTTGTTGCTTCTAATCTGCTGGGAAAGCAGGTAATGTTTGTTAATGGCTTGTGTTTTAAGAAGAGTACCTAAGCTCTGGTGAATGCCTGAGTTGAACTAAACTCCAGCACAGACCTTTTAACAGTTACTCTAGGTGCTCTGAGGCTTTTTCCTTGAGTTTCGGTAGCTCCCAAAAGATTAAACTCACTAAAGGAAGATCTTAACTAAGATCTTAATAAGTTTTGATAGAATTACACTTTGTTCTTTTAATTCAGGTCAGTCGTATATCTTGGTCTGTATTTAGCAGAAAATATCTGTTGTATATTCTCTGTTAGTTTTTATAAAAAGCAATGTTGGGCTAATTAGCAGTCTTCCCCAGAGGCTTTCCCACCTCCTTTCTGCCTCTGCCATCATGATCTCCTCTGCCTTACTTGTGAGGTAGAGCCCTTGGGATGAGCCACCTTTGTCTGACTGAACAGAGGGAGGCTGCGTCCCTGTCCCTGTGGGCTGTGTATCTGCCCCAGTGGACCAGTAAATGTTACCTCGAATCTCTCAGTTTTCACTCCTGTTTCCACAGAGCACTAGTTTCCAGGAGGCTGTCAGTTTTCCTTGTGCTTATGTGGCTGAACTTTGCTTGATTTGATGGCGTCCAGTTGTGCTGTGTGGTATTTATGGATGATGCTAGGTCTGTTGTAAGCAGCTCTGTCTAACTTGCTAGTGGATCTCTGGCTAACTCTGCTTTCGGGTCTTGCTAACAGTAGGAAATGATCTTCATAGTCATTAATTTGCTTTTTTGTTAACTCATATTTATAATCAGATCAAAAAATTTTAATTGTTATTACTGGACTCTGGTTACCCACTTGTGAAAAGTTCTGAGCATCTCTTTTCATCTTCCTTTGTGCATGTAGGTTCCAGTCATGCAGGGAGCAGGTATGCAAGGAGCAAACATTCAGGGTGGAGGCCAGCCTGGTGGCTTTAGTCCTGGGCAGAACCAGGTCACCCCACAGGACCATGAGAAGGTGAGCATGGCTGTCTTACTGCCTCCGTACGCACGAAACTATGGAATCCTCTTCACAGTACTGGGAGGTTCTGGGTCTTCAAATTTCTTTACAGAAGTCATGTTTTAGAGTTTAATTTTGAATTCTTTTATGATTTTCTTACCTGAAAATTTGTGCTCACCTGCCTCCCCTCTCTACCTTATTCTAAAAACAATAGATTCCCCATGAGTATATCTTTTTCTGTATTTGACCATTCTGGGGAACTCATATGTTATGAAAAAGCTAGAACTTATGATAAGGAGAAACTTTCAGAACAGAATTAAAAACTAGTGACTTCTCAGTGCTCACAGATAGCATTTTACTCTTCAGGAACATTGAGTTCATGAAGGTATCTTTTGAATCTTTTGATCCCAGGTATGGCTTTTCATGGCTTTTCATGGCTGCTCACCAACTGGTTTTGGTTTGGTTTGGTTTTGGGGAAGACTGCTGTTTTCTGTGTGTGAAATATCCTCTGGACAGAAACTGGTGATGTGCTTTCAGCTGCCATTGTTAAACTGTACTATCTTTTTTTTCCCCTCTGCGCAGGCTGCTTTGATTATGCAGGTTCTTCAGCTGACTGCAGACCAGATCGCCATGCTGCCTCCAGAGCAGAGGCAGAGTATCCTGATCTTAAAGGAACAGATACAGAAATCCACTGGAGCACCCTGAAAGGTGAGCAGATTTATCTGAGTGGTACAAGCTCCTTGTGCATTTGGGGTATATTTCAAGTGACAAGGCTCTCCTGATATCAGTGCCCTCTGAGGCCTACACTCTTCTCAGCTAGACTCTTTACCCTTCAGGTGGTCAGTCTTTATCAGCACACCAAAGGCTGCAGAGCATTTGTGCAATTGCTGAATTGTTTATCTTTTTTTTTTGTTTTTGAAGATCTATTTATACATACAAGAACTGGGGTGCAAGCCAGAGGTGTGGGGCATAAGAGGATTCACCAAAGACAAAGTGGGGAGCAGAACAGGCAGATGTACCAAAATACACTGCTGAGGGGAGCAGCTCACTGGCCGGGATCAAACTGATGCTGAGCTGGCTAGTGATTGCTTGATAGAGCTGCGTCTTTAACCCTTGCGCTACCAGGGAGCCCTTGTTTGTAATCTTCAGTCTTTTAACTTGATGGGAAAAGTAATGTATGATCATATTAACAAAATTTAATCAAGTACAGAAATGTAGAAAGTTCAAGGTGAACGGCTCTGCTTCCTCAATCTCATTCCCCAGACATAACCTCTAAATGTAGCTTGGTGCATGTCCTTCCCAGGATCAGTTGTGTTATTTATTACAAACTACCATATTAAGATGGAGAAAATATAAAGCTTTGAATACATACATTTGAGTAAAATGTATTAGTTTCCATTATTTATTGTGTATTGAATCATTTCATGTTAGACTATGACTGCATAAAACTTAAGATAGTAAATGCCCACATCACCCCTATACATTTTGGAGGGTGCAGTATACTGCTACCCTGGTGTTTCTTGCTCACCAATCAGGTAAAAAGCCTCATAAGTAATTGTGTGACCTAACTCCATTGCATGTGTTGGTGTTTCTTTTAAAAAAATTCCCCCGACATCTTTGTATCTCATAAAGAATTTTGTTTTCTAAAAATGGTTTAAATAAAATTTACATTTTCCCAGTATCAGCTGGAATGTCACATTTTGCTACTTTTTACCCCAACGGTATTTCAAATCCCCACCCATATGTTAGCAAATGATAGTGAACTTGTTTATACTAATTTAGCAGTCTTCACTAAATGTATCATATTTCAGTCCATAATTATACTATCATTATAACATTCAAAGGTGAAATATGCATCATATTTGTGAAACTTGCTTCAAATATCTGGACTCTAATAGGAAGCTGTCATAGGTCCATGTCTGGCTTGACTTTTGGTGTAACTCTGCAGTCCAGAAAGCCAGATGTTATGTTTTCCTCAATAACAGCATAACCTGGGTCCTCTCTGGTGGCGCTACAGGTTAAAATGCAGTTCTAGGAAGCTGCACTTCAACGTCAGCGCGATCCCTCCCTGGGAGGTGACCCACATGGGCATAGCAGACCTCTCTTGTCTTGCCTGCTGCTCCCTTCCGCAGTGTATTTCAGGAGATCTGCCTGTTCTGCTCCCCACTCTGACTCTGGTGAATCCTCTCGTTGCCTCTGCACCTCTGATAAACCTTTAAAAAAGAAAAATGGTCAAAAGGTAAAAAAAATAAAGCATAGACTACCTATTAATGTTCAGAGGGCTAGATACAACTACTCCTCTTTTTTTTTTTTTT